GCAAGCACACTTGTGGCAGAAGAGGCCTCTACCTCCCCACTTGGATATTTCACATCTAAAGCCTCTGCCTGGAAAGGGGATTGAGCCATGAGGAGTTCAAACCACCTTCTCAGAAGGCATCCCAAAGTGGGCATCGGAGGCCAGTTGCTGGAAGCAGGTGGAGGGTCCTGCTTTGGGGGCCAAGCAAGTGTATAGAGGGGAATCATGGAATCATAGAACTGTCGAGCTAAAAGGGACCCTGAGGGTCATCCAGTCCAACCCCCTGCAATGCAGGAATCACAGCTAAAGAATGGAGCCACACAAACTAGGTTTGTGAAGGAGAGTCCACCACCTTCCAAGGAAGTCTCTTCCACTGGCAAACAGCTCTCGCCATCAGAAAGTTCTTTCTAATGCTTCCTGTTCCTCCTGGCCATTCTGCAGGCTGCATCCAATTGACTAGGGCAGGGGTGTTCACGGAGGGCTGGATCAGGCCCCTCTCCTTGTCCTGAATTGAGAGTTGAATCACACCACCCAAATGCATGTTGAAGACACCCTCCTTCAGGGCAGGGAGATGAAGTGATTTGTTTTCTAATTGCTTGCCTACGATGTCCTCTTCCCCCATCTGGGTGGAGAAGCAACCCCAGAGTGTGCTTTTCCTTGATAGCTTCTGCAGGGAAGAAGAAGCCCTCTCAGTTCCTGCCTGTGCCCCCACTCACTTGCGGCTTTCCCCACCACCCTGCCTCAGTTTTGCCCCCTTGGCAGTTTCCCTGCTGTCCTTGGTCTCAGCCTATAGTTCAGGCCCCCGGTGTGTGTTTAAACCATCTGAAGGACAAGCAATTAATTGCCTGGCGGCATCTTTTTCATTAGTGAAGAAATGCTCGTTAGTGTGGGAGCTGATTTGATGGTCTGCTACCTTCCACCAGCAGCAAAGCGACTCCCTTTTGGCGAGGTCGGGGGGGAGGGGGGGAGCTGCTTGGTGCAGACACAGACCCCCCCATCCCCTCCCAAGCCCTGCTCCAGCAACATTAATGAAACATTAGAGTTTTAATTACACCATTATCCTATTTATTTTTATAAATAATTCCAGAGCAGTCATTAAAGTTTGTGGAATTTAGGAGCAAATGACTTCAGGGAGAGGAATCAAGTTTTCAATCTCGTTGTTGTCTGTCGTGGGGGTTCTTTCCTGGTTGCCTTGTTGTTCTTAAGATTATTCATTTATCCACCATCCAAGTGGAAGAAGTTTCTTTGTTGGAAAGTTTGCTGCAGCGGGACCAGACTTTCTGTGGTTGCTGCCAGCTCTCTGGCCCCCAGTTCTAGGAGTATACTGAGGTACTGCAAATGTCTGAGGTTGCCAGTCTTCCTGTTCTCTTCTCCCCTGTGGGCTAGGGGTGCTGGGTGGCTGCTCAGACACATCATCATCATCATCATCATTTATCATTTATCATTTATACCCCACCCATCTGGCTGGGTTTCCCCAGCCACTCTGGGCTGCTTCCAACACAATATTAAAATACGGTAATGCATCAAACATTAAAAGCTTCCCTAAACAGGGCTGCCTTCAGATGTAGTCTAAAAGTCTGGTAGTTGTTCTTCTCCTTGACATCTGATGGGAGGGCGTTCCACAGGGCGGGTGCCACTACCGAGAAGGCCCTCTGCCTGGTTCCCTGTAACTTGGCTTCTCACAGTGAGAGAACCGCCAGAAGGCCCTCGGCGCTGGACCTCAGTGTCCGAGTAGAACGATGGGGGTGGAGACGCTCCTTCAGGTATACTGGACTGAGGCCGTTTAGGGCTTTAAAGGTCAGCACCAACACTTTGAATTGTGCCCGGATTCTGCAACCGGAAAAGCTGAGCATGACCAACCCTGCCTGGAATATACAAACGGAGCCCATTTGCAGAATTCCTCTTATTTCTCTTCCCATGCATAACTCATCCTGCCATTTCCCCTGTTTTACATAATTCAGAGCCAGAAACTACCTTCCACCTGCCCACCCCACCAGCTTCTGAGATTTCAGTGGCCATTGCCCTTTTCACACCCTCAGGCTTAAAAAAAACAAAACTTTCCTTTGGCTTCACCTTACAAGGGAAGAGCCCGTCAAAATGCCTCTCACGCCATGTTCAGTCACTGCCTTTTGAAAATGTCCAGCCTGTCTAGAACAGGTTTGTCACATATGAATGAAGTCACCTTGGTTATGACCGTAAAACCTGGATTCTTCCTTTGTGCAATCTATATATTTTAAAACAAAGATGAATGAAACTTGGATTGCTATGAATAAGCTGTTTGCCACTTGCCCTCTCTTATATTTAAACATCTTGGGCCCCACCTAGTCTGTGTCAGGCAGGGATCCCCCTAGGGGAAAACATCACCTCTTTCCCACCACCGCACCCATGGGTGCCCTTACAGACTGCCCACCCCCTTGCCTAGAGGTGGGCAGGTAATGACTGTGCATTGGGCCCAGTTGTGGTCCTTACCCCCCTTGGTCATGTCCTCTGACCTCTTTCCAGTGCCAGGTGAAAACTTTTTTGTTTTGTTTTACTGAGTCCTTGAATCTGCTGCTCTTTATGTTGCAGCCTGGTTTTTCATACTGTTGCTTTATGATTTATTTCTTGAGGGAAAGGGGCACAAACTGCTCTGCAAGGATACACAGCCGTTGCAATTGCAGGAAGTCCTGAGCTCAGAGGAAAGGGGTAGACATCCCTTTCTGGGGCTCCCATTTGCATCCCGGGACCAAACTACTCTCACAGGTGCAATAAATTATTGCCACCTGGCTTGAAGCCAAGCACCACCAGCTGGAGATGCCTTCTGTGGGTCCACTGGTTCCTTGGGGTTCTTTGGGGCAGAAGCCCAAGGAACTTTCCAAACAGGCAGCAAAGTTCTTAATGTGGAGCCCAAAGCCTGGGATAGAGCCAAGCCCAGAGTAAGCCTTGAAGCACCGGATAGGCTTTGTCAGGAGAATCAGGAGGGAGCAGCCTCTGGAATGCACAGGACACCAGGTTCAATTGACAGCGGTTTGAGGATGAGAAAAGGGAACTCAGGGCTGGGGAGCAAATCCATGCCCCATTTTTCATTTTAACACGAACCTCCTGCTCCCACTGTTTCCAAACAGATACACCAACCGACACACAACCATCCTTCGGCAACCTCGTTGAATGCTGTGAGGCAGTACGGAAATGCAGATACTCCCCAAAATAGCATAGAAAACTACCGCATGTTAGGGGGTGTTCTTGCAAAAGTGCATATATATTTGCCAAAATGCATGCATGAGGAGAAAGGAGTACAAAACGGCGTATAAGTTTGTGTGCATACGTAAATTTGTGTGTGTGACTTCTTTCCTAAGAATAGTTTGCGAATTAATGCAGAAATGGGGGGAATGGAACTGAAGTGGTTTTGTGATTTAATGTTGTTGGCTTTTGTTGCAAACCTCCTTTTGAGCTTTTATCGACTGGAAGGTATCATCATCTACTTCAGTGGTTTTCAACCAGTGCGCCGTGGCACCCTGGGGGTGCCACAAGCAACACTGGGCTGTGTCCCTCTTTCCTTCCCTCGCTCCTCTGATGCCCTCTCGCATCTCTGCCTCCCAAAGGCTTGCACAGCTGTTTGTTGCAGCAGCCCTGGCTACAAGCTGCCCAGGTGAATGGTGCCTCTGGGGCTTGCCAGGGGGTTCTGGTTGCCAGGAGCTGAGGCGGACTTGGAGTAAGCAAGCAAGCGGGCAAGGGAGCCCAGCCAGCCAGTCCGCCAGCCCTTGCTGTTGGGAATGGACAGACAAGTCCCTGGCCCCTGTGGGGCAGTGTGAGGAGGCATCTCTCTTTGGGGTGGGGGTGGGCAGCTCAGAGACCAGTAGCGGCAGCAGCGGCTGTCCAGAGGACTCCCAAGGAAAAGGTAGAGGAGGCTGAGGGGACACTCAACAAGGGAAGGTGTTTGCAAAGGGGTGAGAGGCTGCCAGCTCTGCAGGCAAGGGGCGACATAACTGGGCTCCTGAGCCCTGCAGGGGTGCCGCAGAAAGAATGGAGTTGGTCAAGGGAGTCATGGACTCAGAAAGGTTGAAGAACTCTGATCTGCTGTATATTCCAGAAAGCGGTTTGACGGCTCACTCTGTATTTGGATACCTCTTTAGATAGGGACCAAATTTTGTTTGGTGGTTCCTGAGATCAAGGAGCAATTCTCATCTACATTTAAATTCCACTGGATGCCGTTTTGAATTAAGATGGTAGACTTTAAGCTTCTTATAACGGCACCGATTTCAACCACTGGTTTCAAAACTGTGCTTATTGGTTTCTTTATTTTGCTTTTATTGGGGGGGCCAAGGCCTTAGAATTCGCTGGGGATGCCGGGTACAGTGGCGTAGCGTGGGTTGTCAGCACCCGGGGCAAGGCAAGTAATTTGCGCCCCCTAACCCGTAGGGGCAGAGAGCTGCGAGTGCGAGCGCGGCCCCCCAGATGTTGCGCCCGGTGCGGCCGGGCCCCCCTGCACCCCCCACGCTACGCCACTGGCCGGGTATGATTTTGCTAAGAAATAATGATGCTAATAGGTCTTTTAGAATAAATTGGCGGTGGTGATGACAATGTGTGTTCTCTACCACTCTTCCTGCAGAACCCGGACATTGTGCTGGTCCACTACTTGAATGTACCCGCCATCGAGGACTGTGGAAAGCCCTGTGGCCCCATCCTGTGCTCCATCAACACCGACAAGAAGGAGTGGGCGAAATGGACGAAAGAGGAGCTGATTGGCCAGCTGAAGCCAATGTGTGAGTAGGGCCTGCTGCGCTTGGGGCCCCAGAAGTAGTAGGGCCCTGTGGGGTTTGTTTGTTTGTTTTGTTCTTTGGTTGTTTGTTTTTTGCTGAGTGGGGACAGGGGACGCTCCCCCTTGGGCATGCATAAGGTAGCTGATGCATTCCGCATGCTCTTCAGTCACAAACAATGCACCTTGCAGAATTTGCAGGACGAGGATTATGGGTCATAGAATTGTAGAGTTGGAAGGTACCACAAGGGTCATCTAGTCCAACCCCCTGCAATGCATGAATCTTTTGTCCAGCACGGGGCTCGAACCCACGACCCTGAGATAAAGAGTCTCCTGCTCTACCAACTGCTGGACACCTGTTTCAATTTCAGCAGTGCAAGGGGTGCAGGAAGGAGAAGATATAGACTCATGGAATTGCAGAGTGGGAAGGGACGCCCAGTGGGGTCACCCAGTCCTGCAATGCAGAATTCACAACCAAAGAATCCCTGGCAGATGGCCATCCAACCTCTGTTTAAAAACCTGCAATGAAGGAGTCAGTCCCAACATCAAACAGCTCTTACTGTCAGAAAGTTCTTCTCAACATTTAGGACTGTCTTGCCATTTGGACCCATTGGCTTGGGTCCTCCCCTCTGCAGTGGCAGACAACAAGCCTGCTCCAACTTCCACGTGGCAGCCCATCAGATATTTGAAGATGGCCATCATGTCACCTCTCAGAGCCACAGAACCAGATTCCAAGGCCTACTCTTTTTCACTCGTTGAAGAACGAGCTGCAAATGAAAAGGAAAGCGTGTCTGAGGGGCTCCTTTTTATGCCTCCTAAAAGTCACGGTGATGCAATCAGCACTTGCCCAAGAAACGCCCTCTCCGAAAAGCAAAAGGCTGCGTACGTTTGCTGTTCGTGAGAATCATGGCATGCCTTGCAGACATCAAAACCATTCTGCCATGGATAACAAAAGTCGCCTGCTGCATCAGAGCAAAGCCAATGATGCTGCAGGGGGCTCCTGAGGAGGCTTCCTCACATGCAGGACAAAATGCAGGCCACACCAGGCCCACACAGCCAGGGCCTCTGTGCCCCGGGGCCTGGCTCCCTCGCCTGGCCTTCACACAGAGAGATGTGCCTGTTCCACGCAGGTTTGACTTGTTGCCTTGACAAGCATTTCCTTGTTAGGCTCCTGCCTCCTGCTGCCCTCTGCGGGGGCTGCCTTGGCTGCTTCCCCTCCTGTCTGCCCACCAATTGAAGTGCAAAGAGCATTTTGGAGCAGCTCTTCCTCCCATACAGAGAGAGACTGCTTTGCTTTAGCCATCCGGCATCTCCGCCCCCATGCAAAAGGCTCAGAAATGGGAGAAACCTCCGCTCTGCCAGCAAGCCATGCTGAGAATGAGCCAGGCCAGATCCACCTCCCTGGCCAAGACAAAGTCGTCCCCTTCATTCCTTCTGAGCCTTGTTCCCAGGATATTGCAAGTGTTTCCGCTCTGGATCCTGCTGAGCCTAGGACTGTGTTTGCAGAAGGAGTGCCTGGACAGATTGCAAGCAGACTTCGGGGGCAGAGCAAAGGGAGCACCATCCATCGGCCAACACCCAGAAAGTGCAGCTGCTTCCTTGCTGGGCTGAAAGTGGCAGAGCCCATAATGGGGAGAGCAGCTGCTTTGCATGCATGCAGAAGGTCCAAGATTCATCAACTCCAAGGCTGGGAGAGAATCCTGCCTGAAATCCTGGAGGGTCACTGCCGGTCAGCATAGACAGACTATTTATTTGATTTCTTAACTGCCTTCATGGTATAAGGTCCTGGGTGAGGGTTACGGCAATGGAAAGATGCAATATTAAAACTGATTAACTTCAAAATCAGAAGGATAGGGTGGGTTCTAAAATATGTATTTCGGGGTAAAGAGGTGCATCTTCAGAATACAGATCTCATATACCATCCATGCACAATCCAATTGTGGTTGGGGGGAGCAGTCTGATGTGTATAACTGAGACCTGGGTGGCCCCATGCTAATCCACTATACTTACCTGAGTATTTGCTGCAACATCATTTTAAGTCAGAAGGGTGGGGAGAGATGAAGGGTTGTAGTTGTCCATAAAAACCCCACTTCCTTTGCCAGAAGATCCATCCACATCGTGTCTGCGATCAAGGGACTGTTTGTGGTGATGGACCACAGAGAAAGACCGAGGATACTGCTAGTTTGCTGTCCAGTTTGCTGCATTGCAACCACAACGCCACCTCCCCACAAGGGAACTTGGTCCAGCGAACCAGCTGGGGATGTAGCAGCCTGGGCCTCCACGTCCTCTCTGTGAGCCTTTGGGGTGTGCGGAGCTGCAACTTTGCAAACTCTGGAAGGCCCTAGTAAGGGAGATCAGGAGTACAGCTTATTTTATTTATTTGTTGCGTTTCTATCTCCGCTTTTTCTCCCAGGAGCTCGAGGTGGTGTACATCCTCATTTGCTCCTTACAACAACCCTGTGAGGTAGGCTGAGAGGCAGTGACTTGGCCAAGGTGGAGGTTTGAACCCTGATCTTCCAGGTCCTAGCTTGACACTCTAACCACTACACCACACTGGCTCTCACACGTGTGTGGCTGACGGCACAGGTGTCTTTTTGTCCACTCTAATCCCCAACTCAGGCCCCTTCACAGACTCAGTTCTCGCCCAGTGGTCTTGCTTAAGCTCTGCAGTCTCCGGCATTGCCTGTGCAATGGAAAGCGTATTCTGCAGCCGTTACACTTGGAAGGCTCCCCTCCCCACAATGTGCAGAAGCCGAGAGTCTCAAGAAACTGGGTGGGCGGCCCTAGAATCCCCGATTCTGCCTTTTCCTGGCTGCTGTGCACACAACAGCTGGGGCTGCTGCTCCACTCTGCCAGAGTGACAGGCGGCGGCAGCACAGCCCTGACCTTAAAGAGAGGGGCCAAACTGCCCCCCAGGGCTGGAGATGTGGAGCTGGAAAACTTTTGAGGGCATCTCTGATATCAATCCAAGGCCTGCCGGGCACCTCAGGAGGGGGAAAGTGGCAGCCGGCTTTAAAATCTGCAGTGCGTCAGGAAAAACGACGTGTGGATGACACCAAGCCGGCTGTAAATCTCTTTTATGCCTTGGGAGGGAAGCGCAAAGTTCTGCCCAATTATTCGGCCTGCTTAGGCATCTGCACGTCCCTGTTTATGGATGCGCATCCTGGGAGAGTCTCCCGTGGAAATGCAGCTCGGGTTGGAAAGGGGATGTGTGTGTGTGTGTGTGTGTGTGTGTGTGTGTGCGTGCGTTTGCGGGGTGGGAGCTTTAGATTCTGATCAGGCTTCCGGTGAGGCGGGGAGGGGGGAGCGTGGAGCTTGGCTGAGCACATTCCGGGGGCGCCAAGCGCTCTCCTCGCCAGGCAGGCCTGCGATTGGGTTCCAGAGCAGAGCCCTGCTGCTCAGTCCAGGAGCCAAGCCCATTAGCTTCATCACATTTCCACATAAATCACATTCTATCGCAGGCTTCACAGTTTGATTTCCTGATGTTTCCAAATTTCTCTGCCCTGAAGGAGATTAGCCCGTGATTGAATCTGAATGTGTTGCCTGCTCCTCCTCCTCCTCCTCTCCTCCAGGAGTCCAGGGCAGGCTTTCACCGGAGAGGCTTCTTCTTTCTCCTTCTCTCTCCCCCCCCCCCGCCCAATTCACCTGTTGCATAATGCAGCTCAGTCTCCTTCCTCCCACCCCAATTACCTTCATTCTTCCAGGCTTCTGAAGCACAAACTTCCGCAGGTGAGCTTTGATTCCCTGCCCTGCCTCAGAGTCAACCCTCTTTCTTCTGGTTCCTGGACCTGGCTGAGCCTCCACTGCCACCAGCCACTTAATTACGGGGTCCAGATGCTGCCTCCTTGGGGGCAGATTCAAGCAGAATTTATCAGCCCTCCAGAAATGGCTTTTAATTTCAGGCAGTAGAAGGAAACTTCCCTTGGCAAGGAAGGATGCCTGCTGTCCTGGACGCAGAGGAAGCTCACTGGGTAGGGCAGGGCAGATCATGCAGGTGCTTTGATCTGTTGAAAACAATGTGGAATTAGCCAGCAGAAGAAACACAAGATAAGGGAATCTGCCTCTTAACTTCGCTATTTGTATATAGTGCCATCAAAGTGGGCAGCACATCACATCAAGGGTAGAGCTCACCTGACCTTGGACTACAACTCCCATGATCCCCCCTGTCCACTGCCCATGCTGGCTGCTTGGGCTGCTGGGAGTCTGAGCCCAACAGCAGCATCTGAAGAAAGGAGATTGGGGAAGGCTGGTCTAGATTTTGAAAGCGGGAGGCAGTGGGAAAGAAACAGGGCGTGTTGATGTGTGTCCATAATCACATGTGCACCCACACATGGATGCCGACACATGTCACTACCAGGGAAGGCGTGCCGTTCAGGATCTCGAGCCAAGAATCACAGTAAGCCACAGGAAAGGAAGGCACATTCTACATTATTAGCAGGGGTATACCAGCCATAGGGTACAGGCTAGCTGCATCTCTTGGTGAGCAACCCAAACTGCATGTATAGTATTACAAAACAGGAATCAGTTAGCAGGTCTGCAGAGTGGATACAGCTGAAGATGTGCATGCTCTGAAGCTCAGATATGGCCTGAAATGACAGCTCAGTGGATGCGTCATGTGGAAAAGGGAAAGCCAGGAGAAAGGAGAGGGGCAGAGGGCAAAAGAGGTCTGGCAGGGAGCAACCAAGCCCTGGAGTCATATGTGGTGGGGAGGCAAGAAGAGAGACCCTGAGAGACATGATCAGAGAGAGAAAATGCCAAGGTGGGCCTTTTCCAAGAAGAGCAAGAGGAGTACGAAATTTCTTTGAGAGCTAGACTTGTGTGGCTACCAAGGGTTGGGTGGCTAGGCAGCCTGGCTCTCCGATCAGAAGGTGGGTCTTGTCATGCACAAACAGCCAGAGGGAAGGCAGTGAAGATGGTAATGGCCAGAAGGAGGCAAGACATTAGAGGTTCCCTTGAGCCTTGCACAGGACAAGTGAACTAGAGGGTTTGTGTAGCACTGTGCCAGGCTGTTGCTGTTGGGTGGCACCCAGGGTGTGTGAAGGGGAAATATCTTGAAGCCTGGGTCAGGTGGCACTTGGGGTCAGGCAACATATTTGGAAAGGAGGAGCCCGCTTCCAGAGAGTTGTAGAGGGAGCTGCAGGGAGGTGCTATCACGAGCGAGAAACAGCGCGAGTCCCTGGCAGTTGGCACCTGTCAGCTACTTCCAAGCACTCGGCCTTCAGCCTGTCGTTGTGCTTAATTGTTTCCCCTCCTGCTCCCTGCTATCCTTGCTTTGAGAGCTCTCCAAGCTGATCTGCAGATGCCCTTGGAGGCATCTGGTAGCTGAAACAAGATTAGCAAAGCAGAACTCCGTGT